GACCCACGTAGAAGGCGTTGGCTATAGCACACAAAAATCTAGAAATCGAGTGAAATTCTAGTTTTATGGCCCTAAAATGCCAAAAAATGAGAAACGGTCATGGAGGGGCAGTAACTATTGTTCCTTAGGTTATTTTTGATGGGCCAGCAAAATTTTAGGCGGTCCGGGTCCAGTGGCCCCGGCCCACGCGGAAGGCGTGGGCTATAGCATACAAAAATCTAAGAATCGGGTGGAATTCAAGTTTTATGGCCCTAAAATGCAAAAAATGAGGAACTGTCATTGCGGGGCGGCGACTATTATTTTTTAGATCGTTCTTTATGGTCCGGAAAATATTTCGGCGGTCTGTGTCCGATGGCCTGGACCCACGCAGAAGGCGTAGGCTAAAGCACACGAAAATCTAGGAATCGGGCCGAATTGGTATTTTATGGCCCTAAAACGGCAAAAAAGAGGAACAGTCATGGCGGGGAGGTGACTAATGTTCCTTAAGTCGTTTTAAATGGACCGGCAAAAGTTTAGGCGGTCCGGGTCCGTCCACCTAGAGCCACGCGGAAGACGTGGCCTATAGGACACGAAACTCCGAGAATTGGGCGGAATTCCCGTTTTATGACCCTAAAACACCAAAGAACGAGGAACGGTCATGGCGGGGCGATGACTAATGTTACTTAGGTCGTTTTGATGGGCCAGCAAAATTTTAAGTGGCCCGGGTCCGGGCGCCTGGACTTATACGGAAGGCGTGGGCTATAGCAGACGAAAATCTGAGAATCGGGTGAAATTTCTATTTTATGGCCGTTAAATACCAAAAATCGAGGAACGGACATGGTGGGCGGTGATTAATGTTCCTTAGGTCATTTTTTATGGACCAGATAAAATTTTAGGCGGTCCGGGTATGGGAGCCTGGACCCATTCGGAATGCGTGGGCTATAGCGCACGAAAATCTAGGAATCGGGCGGAATTCCCGTTTTATTGCCCTTAAATGCCAAAAATGAGGAACGGTCAGGCGAGGTGGTGACTAATATTCCTTGGTTGTTTTTCATTGTTCGGAAAATTTTTAGACGGTTGGAATCCGTGCCCCCGGGCCAACGCTGGAGGCATGGGCTATAGCACACGAAAATCTGGGAATGGGGCGAAATTCCAATTTTATGGCGCTAAAACACCAAAAAATAAGGAACAGTCATGGCGAGGCAGTGTTTATTGCTCCTTAGATCATTTTTGATGGGGCAGTAAAAATTTTAAGCGGTCCGGGTTCGGTGGCCCGGATTCACGCAGAAAGCGTGGTCTATAGCACATAAAAATCTAAAAATCAGGTAAAATTCAAGTTTTATTGCCCTAAAACGCCAAAAAATGAGGAACGGTCATGGCGGGAAGGCGACTATTGTTCCTTAGGTCATTTTTGATGTCCCGCCAAAATTTTAGGCTGTCCAGGTGCAGTGGCCCGGGCCCACACGGAAGGCGTGGCTATAGCACACAAAAATCTGAGAATCGGGCATTCATGTTTTATGTCAGTAAAACGCCAAAAATCGAGGAACGATCATGGCGGGGCGGTGACTATAGTTCCTTAGGTCATTTTTGATAGTTTAAAAAATTTTAGGCGATCGGGGTCAGGTGGACTGGGCCCACGCATTCTATGTGGGCTTTAGCGCACGAAAATATGGAAATCGGGCCTAATTCAAGATTTATGGTCCTAAAACACCAAAAAATGAGGAACGGTCATGGTGGGGCGATGACTATTTTTCTTTAGGTCATTTTTTATGGTTCGGAAAAATTTTAGGTGGTCCGGGTCCCGGCGCCTGGCCCCATGCAAAAGGCGTGGGCTATAGCACACGAAATTCTTGGAATTGAGCGGAATTCCGTTTTATGTCCCTAAAACGCCAAAAAATGAGGAATGGTCATGGCAGGGTGGTGACTAATGTTCCTTAGGTCGTTTTTGATAGGCCGGCATATTTAGGCGGTCTGAGTCCGGTGTCCCGACCCACTCGGAAGGCGTGGGCTATAACACACAAAAATTTGAGAATCGGGCGGAATTCAAGTTTTATGGCCCTAAAAAATCAAAAAACGAGGAACGGTCATGATGGGGCGGTGACTATTATTCCATAGGTTATTTTTGATGGTCCAAAAAATTTTTAGGCGGTCCAGGTCCGATGCCTTCTGCCCATATAGAAGGTGTGGACTAGCATACAAAAATATGGGAATCTTCCTGAATTCCTATTTTATGGCCCTGAAATGCCAATAACGAGGAACAGTCAGGGCAAAGTGATGAATATTTTTCATTAGGTCATTTTTTATGGGCCCGTAAAATTTTAGAAGATTCGGAGCCGGTCACACGAATTCATGCAGATGGCGTGGACTATAGCACACGAAAGTGTGAAAATCGTCCTAAATTCTTGTTTTATCGACCTAAAACGCCTAAAAATAAGGAATGGTCACCGCAAAGCGATGACTATTGTTCATGAGGTTATTTTTTATAGGCCCGCAAAAATTTAGGAGATTCGAAGCCGGCCTAAATTCATGAATATGGCATGAACTATAGCACACGAAAATTTGGGGATCGTCCTGAATTTCTGTTTTATGGCCCTAAAATACCAAAAAATGAGGAACGGTCATGGCGAAACAATGAATATTGTTAGGTCATTTTTTTATATTCCTGTAAATTTTAGGTGATTCGGAGTCGGTCGCCCGAATTGATGCAGATGGCGTGGACTAGCATACGAAAATCAAGGAATCGTCCTGAATTCCTGTTTTATGGCCCTAAAACGCCAAAAGCCGAGGTACGGTCATGGTAAAACAATAACTATTGTTCTTTAGGTCGTTTTTTATGGGCCCGCAAAATTTTAGGAGATTCGAAGCTAGTCCCCCGAATTCATACAAATAGCATTGGCTATAGCATAAAAAATCTAGGAATCATCTTGAATTCCTGTTTTATAGCCCTAAAACACCAAAAACGAGGAACGGTCATGGCGATGCGATGATTATTGTTCAATAGGTCATTTTTAATAGGCCCGCAAAATTTTAGGAGATTCAAAGCCGGTCGCCCGGCTTCTTGGATAGCACACGAAAATCTGGAAATCGTCCTGAATTCCCATTTTATGGTCCTAAAACACCAAAAAATGAAGAACGATCATGGCGAAGCGATGACTATTATTCATTAGGTCGTTCTTTATGGGCCCGTAAAATTTTAGGATATTCGTGGTCGATCTCCTGATGGCGTGGACTACAGCACACGAAAATCTTGGAATCGTCCTGAATTCCTGTTTTAGGGCCCTAAAATGCCAAAATACGAGGAACGATCATGGCGAAGCAATGACTATTATTCATTATTTTTTGGCATTTTGGGGTCATGCAACACTAGTTTATGACTATATCTACTTTTCATGTGCATTAGTACATGCTGATCTTGTAGAATTTTTTGATGGACTGTGATTAGCCTGAAATTTTGTAAGTCCATAAGAAATGAACAAATGACTAATACTCATTGCTTCGCCATGACCTGCGGGTTCATTTTTTGGCGTTTCAGGTCATGCTATACGGATTGTGATTATATCCACTTTTTCGTATGTATGTACGTGCTACTTTTGTAGAATTTATTGACGGGCTTCGATTGGCCTGTAATCCGTGGGTCCATAGAAAATGGCCAAGTGACAAATACTTACTGCTTCGCCATAGTTCATTTTATGGTATTTGATGGTTATGCTACGCGAATTTGTGATTACATACACTTTTTCGTATGTATTAGGACATACTGATTTTGTAATATTTTTTTGATAGACTCCTATTGGCCTAAATTCCATAGGTCCACAGAAAATGGCCTAGTGACCAATACCCATCACTTACTCATAAATTTCAAGATCATTTTTGGGTGTTTCGGGGTCACGCAATACAAGTATATGATTATATCTATTTTTCCTGTAGTACATGCTGATTTTGTATATAAAAAGAAATTGACGGACGCCAATTGGCCTGTAATTTCGTAGGTCCATAGAAAACGGCCTAATGACAAATACTCATCGCTTCTCCATGACTTTCGGGCTCATGTTTTAGTGTTTCGGAGTCATGCAGTATGAATTTCTGATTATATCCGTTTTTTCGTGTAAACATGCTGATTATGCAGATTTTTTTTTGGACTCTTTGGACCGAACCTTCATAAAACCATAATAAACAGCCTAGTGACCAATACTCATATAACGACCCAGCCGATGTTCTTGCGTATTAGAGCCCAATTTCCCTATTTACTGATTCTTGTATGTTTGTTATTTTGTGACTTGCGGGAATGGTCGATTTGGTTTCGCATAAGGTTTGGGAGTGAATTGGAACACTAAGTTCCATTTTGGAAAGCTTAAGTTGTTAGAGTTGACCAAAGTTGACTTTTGAATAGACGACCTCGGATTGGTGATTTGATGGTTTCAATAGATTCTATGGTGATTTTGGACTTAGGTGTATGTTCAGATTTGGATTTGGAAGTTCCTAAAAGGTTTTGGCTCTATTTGCTGAAAGTTGGACTTAGGCATGATTTGGACATGTTTAGCGGAGTTGGATAGTTTGGAAGTTAAGAGATGGATTCTAACCTTCGATTAAGTTTGGATAGGGTATTAAGACTTGTCTGTATAGTTGGATGGAGGCCGGGGACTCAAGTGTGTTTCGGAATGATCCCGGGGACTCAAGTGTGTTTCGGAATGATTCCGTACCATTTTGGAGATTGTTAGTATTGCAGGTAACACTACTTGATATTACTTCGACATCTCTTGTTTGTTTTACTTTGCGAAATCTAAAGTCTGATTATGTGGAGACTTATGGTAACTGGCTTTTGGGCTTGATCAAGAATTCATGCCAATTATGAAGATATTGCTCAAGCATTCTCCTAGTCTGAGTTCTTAAATTGTGGTTTCACTAATTCTTCTGAACAATCCTATTTATTTTACACGGTAATTGGTCGAAGGACTGGTAAGTTGACTGATAATTGATGATAAATGAGCCAAATAAACAAGTCAGCATTTAGAACATCTCTGTTAGCCCGAATCCTCCAACCCGTTTGGAGGATAAAATTCTTAAAAGTTAAATAGAAAAAAGAAAATAACAGATCGTTCCATTAGAAAGAGGATCTGAATCTGCTATACTTCTTACAACGGTAAGGGGGGAAAATCCCACCTGTAAACTCAGGCAAGCGAGATATAACTAGTACAAGCCACATCCTAATACACTACAATTCTATTTTTGGAACAAATAATAATTTCACTAGCCCTTCCAAAATTCTTTTCCGAAAAAGAATTATGCCTGCACACTCTGCAACAGAGATAATTGCAGCCATTAACCAAGCCAGTCATTCAATCTAGCGCAGTAAGTGCCTCATAAATTATATGATACAAGAGGCCTGGTCTGATTTCACACACGCTATCGCAAGACTTGTTCTTGAATCTTGGCTTCTATTACCAATCATTCCCCACTTCTTCTAAACAGACAGACTCATCGACCAACAACTCTCAACTCATCTGCCAGGACTACTATTTTGATTTAACTGCACCCCATTTTCTTCACCAGTGGAAGAGTTATTATATACCAAAGGTGGCATCGTAGTGAACCCATTCTCTTTAATGGATCCGCCTATTGAAGCAGAAATCATGGTTTTTTCCACTGAATTCACAGGTGACTCGTCTGGAACCACCGGCTCTGTTTGTGTCTGCTGCTGAAATAATTCAATGCGTCGCAAAGAGGGCACATCTCCATCACAGTACCTGCGCCACATACTCCTGTATATTGACTCAAGATTTCGGGTGAACTGTGTCCCATCACAAAGTGGTGATTTTGACATGAGCTCTCGAAGACTCATTCTCAAGTTTGACAACGATGTAACATCCGAAGCCAACTGTATAGCCGACTCAACGTACTCGTCTTCATTCCTCGCCACAAGGTTCTGTAACCCTAAAATGCAAAATTTAGGAAGCACTAAGATTTTTCACCCCTTTTTTGGAAACTATACTTTCATCAATTGGCAAACCGCAAATGCAAGCACTAAGAGTTCATAAGCAGGGGTAGAATAAAATTAAGATTAACAGAACAAACTTACCAACTGTCTTGAGAAGACTCACACCAACATTATGAGCGTGTATGGAACCTCCCATAGTGACACAAGGAACTCCCATGTATAGTGATTCACATGTGGTAGTTGTTCCAGCATAAGGAAAAGTATCCAAGCTACAAAAAGTGGATCATAATAACAAGCTGAGAATGTTTCCCTTTAAGAGCAAGCAATAGAGGATGTAGGCAAGTATGTCACCAAATCTTTATCATAATTGATAATTGTCTATAAGAATTTTTTGAGATGCCAGATTTTACACGGAGAGGATACTTCAGAAAACCCCTACTGCTGAAAACAAGATATACCCCAGTCCAGCAACATGAAATTACACATTTTATGCACTTTAATTAAGACACATCCAAATTTGACAAAGTTAACATTTACCAAGCATCAAATGACCATTAAATATCTGACAAAATGATAAAGATCTGAGATAACCTAAGCATAACTTATATTTAAAACTGCAGGAGTGACAAAACACACAATATTATCATATCATATGTTTCAGGGAATATCCTTTCATCGGGAAAGGGCTAAAACTACCCCTATTGTTTGGTAAAGAGTTTATAGATGCATGGCTAGCGGCGAGGGGAGTGATCTTGATTGCTGAAAATCTGCGAAAGAGAGGAATTACACTTGTTAGTTGGTGCTACATGTGTAAAAGCTCAGGGGAAGAAGTTGATCATCTTTTGTTGCATTGCCCTGTGTCCTCGGGTTTGTGGAGGGCAATCCTGAATCTTTTCGGTGTTCAATGGGTGATGCCAAGCACTGTAAAGGAAATGTTATATAGCTGGGCCGGTTTCCGTAGAAGAAGAAAGCAAAAGGCATGGAAGTTAGCCCCGTTAGCTCTCATGTGGATAGTTTGGGGGGAGAGAAATAGGAGAGCTTTTGAGGGGATAGAGTCTCCTTTTTCACATCTTAAGAATAGTCTTTTATCTTTGATCGCTTTTTAGTGCACTCATATAGCCCCTACTTGTATAGAAGATTGGGCGTCATTTGTAGAGAATCATGTTCTGATGTAAATTCTCTACTTTTTGGTATACTTCTCGTATATGGGAATTTTCTCCCTTTTGATTAATACAATTTACCTTATCAAAAAAAAGAGTTTATAGATACCGTATGTACATCTATCAGTCCAAAAATGCACATTACGTCCATCTAGCAGTCCCAAAAATACAAATGACGTTAATTCTATTAATAAAATTGCCTCCCATCTAAGGCAGAATCGGCGAACCTTCAATTTAATGACATGTCATTTTTTTACTGGGTCACGTGGCAATCTCGGGATGAAACCAAATTTGGGTTTAATTTCGACCCATTAAACGGATCCGACCCTAGTTTTTGTTACCACACCCACTCCCACTCACCTGACCAACCCCCTTTCGTCTTCTCCAGCCATAAACCATAAACCTCAATTCTAGGAAACGAACATGCCAAGAATCAAAGAATATATGGGAAATAGATGGACCTACCATCATTAGTTGATTGGCCATGTTTTCTCTCACTATTATCCGTCAATACTTCGCCGGCCACTTGGGTAACCGTGACCTCGCCGCCATTTCCCTTGCCACCACCCTCTTCATGCATATTATCTTCGGCTTTTGGGCATGTCATTCTTTTTAGAAAATGGAGGACTTATGGTAGCAATGAAATCTTAACACCTATTTACAATGAAATCACATAGCATGGAGGTAGCAAAAGCATCAAGAACAAGCCACGAAAACATCAACGGTGTTTGCCGACCATATCTGAAAGATTCCGGTCATGTTTATGACTACCTGTCACTACTGGTTTACCATTTTCGGTGAGGAGATCCGGTGGTTGCCATCGCCGGTCGTGGAAGAATGGTGTCGATAGTAGCACCATGGAGAGGGAGGGGGGTTAGGTTGTGAAGAATGTGAGAGAAAGAGAGAGGCGAAGAGGTGGGGGTAATGCCGGATTTCCAATAGTGGCGGCGGCGATTGGCCGGTGGTAACGCCGACAGTGGTGGTGATAGAGGAAAAGAGGCTAGGAAGAGGATTTTGGGGTTTAGGTGGGTGGAAGTGGGTGAGTTGGGTGATAAAGAAGAAAGAGAAAGAAAAAGAAAAAAATGCAAAGAAAAAGAAAGAAAATAATTAGGCGGGTCAAATAAATTGGGCGGGTGTTCTACCCAGGTTTGGTTTCAACCCAAAGCTGCCACATGGCCTAGTAAAAAAAATGCCACATCATTAAATTGAAGGCCCACGGGTTCTGCTGTTAGACGTGGGGGCAATTTTATTAATAGAGTTAACAGAATTTTATCAACAAAAAAAAAAATTAATTAATAGAATTAACGTTGTGCATATTTTTCAGACTGATAGATGGACGTGATGTGTTTGTTGGACTGATAGATGGACAGAGGGTATTTACAAACCATTTACCAAATAATAGGGATTGCTTTGACCCTTTTCAGTTCTTATATTTACACAATCAGACATACTGGAACACTTTTTTTTTTGACAAGGCATACTGGAACACTTGAAAAAGGCAATTTTAAAATGAGGGTGATTCACAAGGACTTCCTTCTAATTCAGCGAGAAACTAGATGGACCTTGCATCTGACTAGAGAAACATTTTGGACCTCCCCTGCCAAAAATTTAAGACCGATGGCGATTATATTTGGTATGATTTGACAATATCATCCTTCCTTTAACTTGTCCATACAATTAGGCAACAACGAAAGAAGATTGTGGGGCATTTTTCCTACTTTCATGTTAAAGTTCCTTTTTGGCATTTCTTTCTTCTCTTATTTTTCTTTTTTTTTTGTTTGTTGGCAGGTAAGGTAAGGCTCCGTTTGTTTTATAAAGATTAAGACGTTTAAATCTGGATACACTTTTGCTTATTAAGATAATGTATCTAGATTCAAACACTGGATCACTAAAATTGCTTTTTCAGCATCTTCATGTGGATAAATTATCTTTATTCAAAAATAAATAAATAGAGAATTCAAATAAATTACTACTAAGTACTATACCCACAAAGATATTAGAGAATATTAATTTACATGGTGTTGTATAATTTATTTTATTTTTTTGACAAACCACACACTAAAGACTAGCAGCGACTGGCCGTGCTAGTAGCTAGTGACATCAGTTGTGAGGTGGTGATTGGTGGTTGTCGTGGTTGTATGGAGGTTGGTGATGGTTGTGCAATGGGGCAGGCTATGGTGGTTGTTCGATGGTGGCTAGAGGTGGTGGATGTCTATCTCGATGGGGATGGTTGCGGAGTTAGGTGGTGGTGATGGCGGTTGTGCGGTAGAAGTTGGCGATAGAGGTGGTTGGTGATAGTGACTAGTTGTGTGAAGATGGTTGGTGATGGTAATTGTGCGGTGGTTGGTGGTGGAGGTGGCTGATGGTTTGGTGGTAGCGGTTGACGGGTGAGGAAGTCACTGGTGCTGGCAGGAGGTGGCTGGCGGTGGTGGTAGTAAACATAGTTCTGGCAAAAGGACATTTTAAGTAGACATTTTAATGATACTAAAACTCTGCACAAGATGTAAACGATTCAAACCTGTTAAGAGCTAACAAGTAGTTACTATGAAGGAAAAAAAATAAACTTAATAATTAAAATCTGAACGATTCAAATTCAGACATCCATCAAGTGCAAACAGATAAAGCCTAGATAAGGCCAAAGAGCAGTTGGACAAGTGAGAGAACTAGGTCACCAGGTGGGAGAAGGCATTGGGAGGGAGGCCTAAGGGGAGGGGAGAGGGAGTGTTGGAGTGAATTGGATTCGGCTGATCGACTGATTCTATTGATGTCCCTTTTTCACTTCCTACAGCTTTTAGTTAAATACAATCAAATCAGAAGCGAACTTGGAAAGAGAGTTATGAATTCTGGTGACATGCTGCCATTTAATAGTCAAACTAATGGAGATTGATGGCAGAAAGTCCCTGCAATTACATACTCCCTTTTCTTTTAATGGCAAAGAGATTTCATTAAAATCTAGCACTAAGATGGGGCTAGGTAAACTGTACAAGTGCAGCGCAAAGCAAAAGTAGAGGGGAAGTCTCGAGTATTTCTCAAACTAAAAGGAAGGCCTATATATATTCACCAAAGTAGACCAGAGGTCTATTTAGTTCCTGAAGGAACAGAGATCTAGCATTAATCAAATATAAAATGTTTCTCAGCTTCCATGACAAGATATGCTGTGACTTACTGCTGACAGTCTTACAGCAAATTTGTAAATTTGTACCCCTTCCGTTCCACTTTGTTTGGCACTATTTTCTTATTAGTCCATTCCAGAAAGGTTGGCACATTCCTATATTTCCTTATGGGAAGCTTTTATAGCCACACAAATGCTATGACTTTTTTAAGACCATAAGTTTCAAAAGTTTTATAGCCACATAAAATGTTATGGCATACTTAAAAGTTAAGACCACAAGTTTCAAAAATCTTCCTCTCTTTATTAAACTTTGTGCCAAACCAAACTACGACAACCAAATTGAAATGGAGGAGTAATTAATAACGCAAAGAGATAGTTGACCTCAGTGAAGAAAACACAAGGGAGCCCAACATTTAATTTAGAATTCCCTTCCAATGATCACTTGAAATAGTATGATAGAGAAAAATATAGGAAGTTAAACAATTCACAGAAGCAAATTGATAAATCACCCTATAAGCAAGAAAAGAAGAGCATATGCATGTAAGGGTGCCCAAACCCCTTTAAAATATATTCCAGGCAGAAGAGATGGAGCTAGTAACAGCATACGTATCCTTTGAGTGTCTTCAACGTGAAGCATGATACCCATATAAATTTGGAAGTGGAACTAAGAAAACGGCCTTATGAACAATTTACAAATGAAATCAAAAGCTTAATTAGATTCTGAGTATAAGAAGGCCACATGACCAAGGGCATTACCTAATATCCATGAGGGAATATGCTTGCATATGATCATGATTTAGAAGGATTAATGGCAAAAGATCAACTCTCTGTGGCTCCAATCCCAACTGCTCTAGAATAGAAAGAAATCTCTGCCTCACACTATCGCAACAGAAAGGCTTGCACTTAACAATTAGCCGAGAATGCGGAACTGCACAAAGAATTTTTGCCCAGACTTGCAGCACTTTAGGTGTTATCTGCATTGGCAGATCATCAGAATAAAAGAAGAAAGAGCCACAAAATCCTATTAAACAACACAGTTACCAATTCAAAAGCACGACACAACCCCACCACATGCTTCTAAATGGCACTTGCTTCCTGATTAATACCTTGGCAAGATTGTTGAAGCTACCAAACGTAACAAAGCCATTGGATAAAGCAGGTGCTGGAGACACTGGCCCAGCTTCAGGAGAAGGTGTATAACAAAGAAAGCTATCTGGCAATCGAACCAACTCTTCCACGTGTCTGCCAATCAAATAGAAACGATTAGCCACAAGACTGTCGTGCGGGTAAGATCAACATGAAAAAATCCTTTCTCCCACTCACTTCTGTTTTGTGTTAGGAGGGTCAGCCATAGCATCAGTGATTCTATAGTCAATCGTGGGCAAACCAGTTGTGTTAGGGTATCCAATCCAAGTCACCTAGCAGGAGAAATATAAAGAATCATGAACACTGAGAAGGAGCAATAACAGCTCAAAAGTTAAGCCATAGCAAATAGATTAGTTAAGACTTCCTTCATAGCAGGAAGTTTGATACATAGAAGCAAGATTCTAATTTTATCGGGGAGTGGGAAATTTTCAGTATGAAATTCAAAGATAGGAGTGGTTGAATTAGCATGAAACCAAGATGACACACTAGAATGAAGTACAACATCAAATGTTTTTCTTTTGATAAGAATGACATCAAGTGTTTTTCTTTTGGTAAATATGACATCAAGTATGTTTTTCTTTCGATAAGTATGACATCGCGTGTGCTTTCAAATTGTTCCCCAAATTTCAGAGAAGCTTCACCTTGATTTCAAATATGTCTTACTGGACTAATTAACTTTCCAACTTCAAATGAATATTTCGAGTTGACAGGCAAGGTAGGACAGCTGTTTTATAGAGATATTCCAACCACCCACGTGATTCTCCTAGACTCCTAGTAGCACTGTTAACCATGTATCTTAAAACAAAATCCTCATATGACCAAAGAATGTAAAGTATGTATTTTTTTCTTCATAGTCAATAAGATTGACAATTTGGTAGTCATATGAAACTACTAGGCTAGCATGGTCAAAAGTTACTCCAACATAATTCGCAATGAGATCCAATGCATACACACTCATACCTCTTTATTTGATGATGCGCACCAAACCTCAAACATTATTTTAGAAGAAGGGTGGTGACAGACAAAAACATCATGCTACACATCTATCTCTAAGCTCTTGGAAGCACAAAATCCAACCAAAGATGGGAGAGATAATAAGCCTAATAAAAGAAAAAGAACCACTGAATTCCAGTTTCTCAATTTACGCGAGACAACTTAACCATTCCCCATAAAAAGTATTATTTAAAAAAATGAAAGGCCAGCTCTTTCCCTTAAAAGCCAAAACATATCTAATGAGGTGCAGTTAGGCCTCAGAGCAGCAATATTGAAACCAGAAACAACCAAGTTAGAGCATAAGATAAAGATCACCTGTACAGGCGCAGGTCGACAAGCCATCGTTCCCAGTTTATTATTAGCAGTGTGACCTGTAAGTTCAACCATAATATCAACTTTATCTTCTCTAATCATGCTGGAGACCTTTTTCTCATCAATCCCGTAGATATCCCTCCAGACACCACCCTTTTTCAAGACTTTGTCCCTAAACCTGTTTGTTTTTGCATCTGCCTGCAATCCCAAACAAAGAACCATATAAAAGTATGTCTTAGTGATTTTGTCCAAAGAATGCCTTAGTGATGTAATCCGAAGCGTGAACTAAGCTGTCGCAATACAAAGACAAATGAGGATCAGCAATGGAAAAGAATACCTTTACAACAGCTGAATAAACCACCACCTTGTAGTTTGTGTAGTCATGATATGCAAGTGGTGCTTCGATGAAGTATGAGACAGAGTGAGTAAAATAATCAGGAGACACATATCCAATCACAAGTGGCCTTTCCGGGACTTTTGAGTTGTCCCATGAAGTGTACTGAGGATATAATTTCATAAAACGTCGACCCCAGTCTCTGCATTCACGCACCTTACAGTTAGAATAGGCACCAAAAGATCCAGAAACAGAATCACACTAAACCAAATATACAGCCAACAATAGGTACGTGTATATTACCAATTGTAATGGCAAAGGCTACCTGACACTATTTTCCATTATCATTAACGAGGTCATAGTAACTGGGATTTTGGAGGAGTCCTATTCATCCAAGCAGCAGGTGACGGAAGGACAAATATATAGGAACATTACATTTTATGGTTAGGTACTTAGTAGGTACAGGACATACTTAGTAGAAAGGGCAAAGAAAAACTCCTTACTCATAATTTTCTAAGTTCTGTAAAAGTTGGTACTTTTTGGGCCAGTTCTGGCCAGAATCCTCATTTCCTGACTAATCCAGAAACATGCAAGGCCATACCTCTCTTGCTGGGAGAAACTTGTTATCTCATTTCCCTTGAAAATTATAGCAGGTCATGAGGTAATGCTAACATCGGCAGATCTAATGAGAAACTTAAGGGCAGGTGAGCTTTATTGTGAGACTTGGCAAAATTCATCCCCAAAATGTCAAGATCACTGTTCCTGCTCCAACTACTGCTATTTCCTCTATTTCAATCACCTCTGTCAGGAGACAGAAGATATCTACTAGGTCATCAGTAAGGTCATTTTGCATCATTAGGCACCACGGGCTCTTAATCGTATAAGTTGATCAAGAAAAACTGTTGGCACATTCTTTTTAGAAGGGAGATGCAGGGCTGGGAACTTCCGCAACTTCTAATTCTACTTGCCAAATTGGAAGGCTTCTCAGTCAAGGAAAATACTACTAATAGAATGAGATAGGGGAACTCCAAGGATGGCCTTAACACAGTGAAATCAGGCTACACACATTCTTGCTCCACCAATGATATCATTGATAGATGGCCTTGGAAATATATATATGTGGAAGACTAAACTACCTAAATACCCAGGATAACCTCAGCAGAAGAAGCTTTCAGTTGGCCAACAGGTGTTACAATGCTTGCAGCAGCCAGAGTCCACCAGATATCTTTTTCTTTTTGTTCACTACCCAATTGCAGCAGATATCTGTTGTATGTTCTTTTCCGTCTTTGGTCTATACTGGGTCATGCCACAGAACATCAAGGATGCCTATGAAAGCTGATCTTCATGGAAAGTAGATAAATCCATCATTAAAGTTTGGCAGATGATCCCTTCCTGTATTTTTTGGTGTATTTGGACAGAAAGGAATTGCAGATGTTTTGACGGGATATCAACTCCTACTTACTCACTTAAGGATAGATGTTTTGTCTGGTTATATAGTTGGCAGAAGTTAGCTCCTGTAAACTGCCCTCGTAATATATTTTGGACTTCGTCAGCTTCTTAGCTTTAGCCTAGTTCTTTTGTCTGTAGAGCTGACTTTGTCTTTAAGTTCTCTCTCTTTTGTACTACTTGCATCTTCTTGATGCCTTATACAAAATTCTCTTACTTCATTAAAAAAAATAAAAAGACTTTTCAAATTTTCCTCACTCTATCAGCCTACACATCTAACTTTCTTTATCCTTTTTCCCCAATTGTTAGTTTCCCTTTTTTCCCATACTTAGGTAGCGTTTGCTGCATAATATATTATACAATAGCCTACAGGTAGGAAGTAAATAAAACCTGTGAGCCTCATATAACTTGTCATCAGTTCCTTCATTAATGTAGTTCATGGCAAGTAACCGATTCTGCAAACACAAAATTATAGATATATGAGACAAAAAGGTGTAGTAAATCCAAGAACATTTTTTAAGACAAGACTTAAAAAATTGCCATCTAATATGCAGCATAATAAGTCAGAAATTATCAAGATGTTGTAACAATTCAAATCCTAATGCGCTAAAATTAAAAGAATGTTATGAAGTAAAGAGCTTCTCAATCTCAGGGGAATAGTCAACTACTCAATTCACTTGGAGACACCACTGTTCCCTTTTATTTTTCAAGGTTTTGATTTGGTCCCACTTTCAAACATATTGCATTTTGAACTTCTCATTTTTGTCTTAAAGGACTTGAAACTTAACAGTTTATCCTGTCTGACAATTATTCTGAAGACAAGTATTGAACTTGGAATGGTTAAACCTCCATTAAAAGTAGATCTATTGTTACATGAAAGGTAGTAGATAAAGGCCGGAGGTATTTCTCAAAAGCTACTAGTATCTAGAGCCTTGATGTTATGTGGATTGACATTACACCTAAAGCAATAACAAAGAGCTATCCATGTCACCATAGTGCAAAATGCATTTTTAGATAAAGATGTTGTAGCCTATTTAAAGGTTTTGAGGACCACATGTAGGCCATGTTGATATCAAAAGAAGGATCATGCAGAAAAAGTCAAAGAGATGGGATACCTCAAAATCATAAGAGAACAGGCAATACCTGGCCTGCATTTCGGGAATCAGGATCGATCTTGAGGCACTGCTCATATGCTTCAATGGCCAGAGATATATTTCCTGCATCCCTGTATAGAACTCCTGCACAGTTCCCAACATTATTCCATTAACCAAAGGAGTAATACCTAGACAGCTTCTACTTAATAGGATGAAAAAATCTTCGAGTACTTGAAATATGCTTCTTCAAGGTTAATCACTTGCGATAACTAAATGAACTACTTCGACAACCATCAGAAAGCTTGAAGGACCTAAAAGATGGTGCTAACACTTTGGAAGAACTTATCGATTATGCAAGTCCAGATTGAAAGATAAGGAAGGCAAGTAAAGCAGAAAGAAAGTTATCTCGCATTTGTGGATAATAACATCAGAAAAGTGGAACCTGAAAATTCGCTAACAATACAGAACGGACAAAGAAGCAGTTACATCATAGATCTCTGAAGTCTGAATTAATGTTCTAGAGAAAGTAGCACCATGACAGCCTAAAGCACACAGTGAGAAAGTCAATTTTCTTCTTTTTTATTTTTCTCTCTTTTTTTAAGAGGGGCTGGGGGGAGCAAACAATATACAGAAACTGGAATAAGAAAGAGATAGACAACAGATGCATAGAGAAACAAGAACAGACCCTAACTTTATACACATAAAAGCGAGGTGGAAATAAGGACCTAAATTATTATATGCCTCTGCATATGTTGGGTTTGCAATGATAGCTTTCTCAATCATGCTAGCAGCAGCATCCATTTTACCCTGTGAGCAATCAAGAAAATATGCAACTCACAACAGCACATATTATTGCTTACACAAACACTAGTTGATAGCAATCAATGTTCACCTGAACCGTGTAAACTACTCCGAGATTGTTTAATGACTGAGAAAAGTTTGGTTTGATTGACAAAGCCATCTGTGGAACATGAAATCACAAGTTGAATAAAGTATAAATCTCCTATGCCAACCAAAAAAAATATGCATAAGATGATTGCCTGATAACACTCCACTGCTTTATCAAGGTTGTCCCTGTCCTTGTATATCACTCCCAAATTGTTGCATGCTTCAGCACAATGAGGATTGAAGTGGAAAGCAAGTTCATAAAACACAATGGCCTGCATGTGAGAATAAATCATCAACTCCTTCACAATGTGATACGAACCAAGATATCCAACAAGAACGTTGGACTTCAATTGTTGCAACTTTTGCAATTTGGCGGTTACGTGTATAATTTGGCCATCAATTGAAGATTACACATGTAATTGGCGGCTATATTTGTAATTAGTGACTACTTAGATCCCTAGGTTTTTAGCTTAGGGGTATTTAGGTGTCTTGTTAGCTAAATACCCATCCTAGTATAAATAGTCCTTAAAGTTTCCATTTTAGGGTTAGACTATTTTGTTGATCAATGTATCCTCTTTGAGAGATTTGAAGGTGGTTGCCATGGTTGAACACAACTTGCAAAGGTGTTCTGTTCTTCAAGTGGAATTTCTTCACTTGAAGGTTTCCTATAGATTAGGTACTATAGGTCTTGTATTTGTTGGGTGATTGATTATATCAATTGTTTAATATTTACACCTTATTTGAGCCTAGACTCAATTTTTATCCTTTTATTCTTGTTTCTTTAATTTCCACATTTTAATTCATATCACAATGGAAGCAACAACGATAAGTTTCTCATCAAGGGAAGAAATGGATAACACGAGTGGAACGAGGGGAAAGAGTGTAGATATTGGAAGGGTACTGAAAACTAAACACTTGAGACACTACAAACAACAACAACAACATACCCAGTGTGGGGTCTGGGAGGGTAATGTGTACACAGACCTTACCCCTACCTGGAGAGGTAGAGAGGTTGTTTCCAATAGACCCTCGGCTCAAGAAAAGGTGGAAAGGAAGAAAAGGGAGGAAGAAGAAGAAGAAAGAGGGGGGAGAAAGAAAGGAGAGGGAGACAAAAGACGATAAGGAAAAAGAGGAGAAAAAGTAGCATCGAATAGTAACAATCAAGGAGCAATAATTTCCAGTAAAAGGGGAGAAAAAGTAGCATCAAATAGTAACAATCAGGGAGCAACAATTTCCAGTAGACACTACATACGTATATATTCCCTCCGTCCTATTTAATGTGGCCTTGTTTGACAGGCCATGGAGTTTAAGAAAGAAAGACTGACTTTTGAAACTTGTGGTCTAAAACAGGCGATAAACATTTTTGTGGCTATAAATCGCCTCATTATGGGTAAAATGGTTTCTAAATAGAAAAAAGGTGTCATTCTTTTTGGGACAGACTACTAAAAAGAAAAGTGTGCCACATGAATTACGATAAAAGGAGTAGTAGAGTATGAACTTCAACCGTTGCAAGCAGCAGAAATAAGTGCAATCCCTAAAAAATATGGCTCTACAAGGTTGACCTAGTTACACCACAAAACTAAACCAACAACCTTACAGTTGATAACCCAACAATTCTTCTACGCACTATGCTACAGCCCTTATGTTAACTGCAAGAGCACATACTATTGTATGAGTTGTGATATAGAGATAAGCGGAGGGCCTTGCACAAAATTACCATGTCAAATTTCAGCATTTCACCATAGGCAACACCAAGATTATACATTGCGTCAGCATAGTGCCAGTTGTAGTAAAGAGCTTTCTTGTAATATACCACACCTTGGTTGATGTCTCCCTCCAATTTAACCTGAATAGAAGTACCAACAACTAATAAGCACGAAGAGATTTTGGCAGTTCCAGAAGAAGTGAGCTAAGAAACCAGATAAGGCTCTAATTTGCTTTTTTATAATAAAGAAAGAAAAAACTCTAATAAGTTAGAACTGCTAATAAAATATAAGAACAGGTATATGTCTTCATGTTTGTTCACCTGACAATGTGGAAATGCTGATATGAACTTAAGATAACTTCCCTTTTTTAGTTTCTTATGGGTTGGGGGCAGTGAGGTGTCAATTGGAAACTTCTTATGCTGCTTGATTAAAATTTCAGTCTTCGTAGCAAGCAGTATCTTATCATGTTCAACATGAAGCAAAAGATAGTTGTGTGAACTATAAGGCAGAAAGTGAATGCGAAATGCTATTAAGCAAACCTCTGGTTACCATGTTCTTCACTACGAGATTGCAATATGGAATGTCTAATTAACAGTTAGGAAGACGATATAGCAATAGTAATAACTGCTAAATTTGTACAAAGTCTGACTTCGAAGGAGTTGAATGCCATTTAATGAAGTTAGGACTGTTCACAGACACTAATTACCTTTGTGCCTAAATCAGTCAGAGCAATTGCCATGTTATTCTTTGCAATCTCAAAATTTGGCGACACAGCTAAACACCTGAATAAGCATAACGAGAAATAAAAGAAATCAGATGGAAACTGCCAAATCATATATAGCCACCTCACACTAAAGATAAACTTCAATCAAATAAAATGAATTTAACATTGTTGCAACCTCTCATAACAAGCAATTGCAGACTCCAAATCCCCACGGTTTTTGTATATAACGCCCATATTGCAATAAGCTTCAGCATACATAGGCCGCTCGAGTGCAGCCTTCTCATAGCAATTAAGGGCCATGTCGTATTGCATCATTTCAGAATATACAACGCCAAGGTTATAATAAGCAGGCTGCGAGTACAGCACAACATGTCAAAATTGGGGCTTCCTTGATAAAGTCATGGTAACCAAAAAGTCAAACAGGCACCGGAAAATAATCACCGCATAATGTGAGTCGATTTTGATAGCTTCATAATATTTCTGAATTCCCTCCTGCGTGTTACCAGCAAGCTTCAGGCTGGTCCCAATATCAGTCAATACAATTGCAAGGCATTCTGCTGCTGGTTTATATGAGGGGTCAGCTTTAAGTGCTTTCTGATAGGACTGCATTGATTTAAATTCAACATAAAGATTAACTGAAAGTTATAAATGAAACAAAAAGAAGCTCTGATTAGTAATAAGCTTCTGATTCATATTCAACATAAAAATTGAGTGGATTATAGATGAAACAAGAGATAGCTTCGATTAGTGATAAGCATCATCATAATAAAGATTCACCAGAATAATTTAAAGCAGCTCGTGTGCAAAAAGAGCACACTCCATTATTTTTGCAATAAATTAATGAAGCTTAATCGTTTGCTTAATCAGACGTCCATCAAGTTCTAATCCTGATCACTTCCCAAATCTTTTAGTCTGCAGAGGTGAATTTACCATCTCCAGACCAAGTTTTGTCGAGCTCTTCAAGTCAAGGCAGACTTCAAAATCCAGCAACATAAACTCCTGAAAAATGTAATGCTCCTTTGCGCATTTCTATCTTCTAAGCCATTAAGCCTCCACTCTACCACAAACAGAAGTCCATTTCTGCATCGACTAAAGGGAAGAATCTAGGGATTTTATGCAAGTTGGATATCAAAAAGACATATGATCACGTAAATTGAAACTTTCTGATCAAGGTGCTAAAGGATATGGAATTTGGCAGGAAATGGCTCAACTAGGTTTTCGTGCATAGTACTGTTAGATTCTCGATCTTGATTAATGGGGCACCTAAAGCGTAAAGGGGATTGAGACAAGGGGGTTTCCTGTCTCCTCTCCTCTTCATTATTGCTATAGAATAGCTCAACTCAATGTTAAAGCTTGCCAATCAGAACAGAGAATTTAAAGTGACAAACGCTGGTGGAAGCAATATGGAGGTTTCTCTTCTCTTATATGCTAGTGATTCTATTGTTTTCATTGACATTAAGGTGGAGCAGCTTAGGCATTTAAGACACATTTCTTTTTGATAGTTGTGGTGTCTAGGCCACCTTGCGCACACATCGACTAATTCCACGGGTTACCTGCTACCTCCCACAAACATAGGTAGGGGGGCAACTCTGTCCACGAACGGCATTAAAGAGATATTAACAGCATTTAAAGCTCATGTTGGCTACATATTAATTAGAGGAAGAGCATGTCTAATAGTATCACAACGAACTGTATTACATTCTTAGTCTGCGTAACTCGACTAATTTTTTTAGCTTTTTTTTTAAGAAACTGATTTTTTTAAGTTAGCTTGGGTAGAAATAGCTTTTTCTACATATGGCATAGATTATCTTCACAGTTGACTCCCTTTAGCCCCATGCACATTATATTTAAATGAACGAGTAAAAAATGTGCATAACCACTCCCAAACATGCAACAACAACAACAAAAAAAAAATGTTTAATCCCATAAGTGGATCTGGGGAAGGGAGTGTGTACACAGACCTTACCCCTACCCTATAAAGGTAGAGAGGTTGTTTCTGATGGACCCTCGGCTCAAGGAACAGTAAAAATAAAGCAATAAGCAATAGCAGCAGCAATGTAATAGGGTAACGGAAGCGAATGACACAACAAGTAATAAAGAATCAAGAATAAGAGAATATAAGAATGGTACTATTGTAGACTCCGGAAGGAAAAATAGAGAACCCGGCTTACTATGCAAGTTGGACCTTGAGAAGGCTTTCGACCATGTCAATTGGGAGTTCCTGGATTTCATTATGATGCGGATGGGGTTTGGGGTACGATGGAGGGGATGGATCAACAAACAACAACATCAACAACCCAGTATAATCCCACTTAGTAGGGTCGGATAGTGTGTACGCAGACCTTACCCCTACCATGGGGTAGAGAGGCTGTTCCCAAATAGACCCTCGGCATCCTTCCCTCCAAGAACTTCCCATCTTGCTCTTGGGGAGACTCGAACTCACAACCTCTTGGTTGGAAGTGGAGGTTGCTTACCATCAGAGCAACACCTCTTGGTTGGAAGTGGAGATGGGTCAAGTTCTGCATTTCCTCATTCAGATTCTCGGTCCTGGTTAATGGTAGCCGTGTGGTTTCTTTGGCAGCTCTAGGGGTCTCAGGCAAGGTGACCCCCTATCCCCCATGCTATTCATTCTAGTGATAGATGCTCTGAGTAAAATGTTGGATCGTGCGGCAAGCGGAGGCTTCTTGCAAGGATTCTCAGCTCCGATCGGGGCGCCAAGTGCCCGAAGAGTCTCTCATTTGCTTTTTGCGGATGACACACTGATTTTCTGTGATGCCGATATGGATCAGTCGACCTACCTAAAGCAGATCCTGCAGTGGTTTCTGATAGTATCAGGACTCAAAATCAACCTCGGCAAGTGTGAGATTTTCCCGGTGGGTGAGGTTGCTAACATCGATGCTTTGTCTTATGTTCTCAGATGTAAGGTGGGCACTCTTGGGTGCTTCGCATAAGGATACTACGGTTTGGAATCCAGTGATCGAAAGGGTTGAAAAAAGATTAGCAGGCTGGCAGAAATGGTACTTGTCAAAAGGCGGTACGGAAGTGCTTATTAAAAGCACTTCATCGAGTATGCCCACCTATTACTTGTCCATGTTGTAAGCTCCTGTGAGCATCAGAAAAACTAGAGCGACTTCAAAGGAATTTTCTTTGGGATGCGGCGGATGGAACTAGAAAGTTTCATCTAGTGAATTGGCAGAAAGTCACTTCCCCAAAGAAGTGGGGTGGACTTGGAGTAAAATATCTTAGGGTATTCAACAGAACTTTGTTGGAAAAGTGGCTGTGGAGATTCGGGGTAGAAGAGCATGCTCTATGAAGGGAGGTCATAGTAGAAAAGTACGATTCCACGGAAGGGGGTTAGAGGACCAAGGCGATCACGGCACCTTTCGGGTGTGGCTTGTGGAGGAGCATCATGAAGAATTGGGAAGCCTTCAATGGCAACATTACTTACAGGGTGGGAGATGGAAGGAGAATCAGCTTTTAGAATCATAGGTGGTGTGGAGAGGATACTCTGAGGGCATCTTTCCCCCCACGTCTTCAGAGTTTCAAACCAGAAAGAATTGATGGTTCAACAGATTCGCAGGGAGCATGAAGGGGGGTAGTATGGGACCTCTCATTTAGAAGGAACATTCAAGATTGGGAGATTACGGAGCTCCAAGAATTGTTGGCACTGCTATACAGGCAAGACAGGCCCCAGCCATCTTGTGATTCTTGGAGATGGGAGTTGCGTGGCGATGGTTTGTTCACTATAAAGTCCTTTTACCAGAGTATGTTAGCGAGAGTGGAGGCCACTTTTCCATACTCCTCGATCTGGATTCCTAAGGCGCCCACGAAGGTGTGCTTTTTTGCATGGCTAGCGGCGAGGAGAGTGATCTTGACTGCTGAAAATCTGCGAAAGAGAGGAATTACACTAATTAGTTGGTGCTACATGTGTAAAAGCTCAGGGGAAGAAGTTGATCATTTTTTTACATTGCCATGTGTCCTCGGGTTTGTGGAGGGCAATCCTGAATCTTTTTGGTGTTCAATGGGTGATGTCAAGCACTGTAAAGGAAATGTTATATAGCTGGGCCGGTTTCCGTAGAAGAAGAAAGCAAAAGGCGTGGAAGTTCGCCCCGTTAGCTCTCATGTGGATAGTTTGGGGGAGAGAAATAGGAGAGCTTTTGAGGGGATTGAGTTTCCTTTTTCACATCTTAAGAATAGTCTCTTATCTTTAATCGCTTTTTGGTGCTCTCATATAGCCCCTACTTGTATAGAAGATTGGGCATCATTTGTAGAGAATCATGTTCCGATGTAAATTCTCTATTTTTTGGTATACTTCTTGTACACAGGAGTTTTTTTCCCTTTTGATTAATACAATTTACCTTATCAAAAAAAAAAAAGAATAGTACTAGTACTACTGGTAAGCCTAGGAGAAACTCACAACTATCTTCAACCTACCACCTTAATCCTCGACCTCCACACTTTCCTATAGTGGGAAGGCCCTCGGTAAGGTGAAGCAATGACATGTCCTGCCTAATCACCTCTCCCCAATACTTCATTGGCCTACCTCTACCCTTCCTCAGGCCAGCCATAGTCAACCTCTCACACCTCCTAACCGGTGCATGGGCATCTATGTCTCTCCTATTCACATGCCCGAACCATCGCAGCCTCGATTCCCACAACTTGTCCTCCAAAGAGGTCGCTCTCACATTGTCCTTAATAACATCATTCCTAATCTTGTCTTTCCTGGTATGTTCGCACATCCATCTCCACATCCTTATTTCAGCTACTTTCATCTTCTGGACATGGGACTTCTTGACGGGTCAACACTCAACTCCATACAACATAATCGGTCTAACCACCACACGGTAGAGCTTGCCCTTAAGTCTAGGTGGCACTCGCAAACATGCAAAAAAACAAAAAAAAAAATGGGTGCGCATCCTCGTGTCAAGATGCCTATTTGCAATTAAAAATGAAATGATACTTAACACAATTTTGATAAATTCTGTGAATGGTGCTTCAGAACCAATATCTTTTATAATTGCTCAATTTTTTTAATAGAAAGTCTGAGCCAGCTTGCGGTTACCCGGACTTAATCCACGGGGTACCTCCTACCTTTTTTTAAAATCAACTAAATGAAGTTTCACTGAAAATGCATCAACAAGATGCCTATTGTGGTACCTCCTACCTAATTTCCCTAACATTTTGTGTTAGTAAAGTTGAACATATGAAAGGTTTATTCCTCATGGCCAACAATATACAAATAAATTATCCTTATCCGAGAAAAGAAAAAAAATGTACATACACAAACATAAACTAAAATAAGCTATCACAGACATTAATTACTTTTACCTCAAAAAAGAAGCTGATGTTAGGAAAAGCTATCTGTAGGCAAAATGTCTATTATGGAGAAGGAAACATGCAACATATGAGCACAATATGTCCCCAATACCTAAAACTAGAAGCAAAATCGTATATCTCCCTAAAAACTCACTGAAGATAGCGTTACCTGAAATCCTTGTTTTCAGCCGAAGAATATTTCTGTCAGCGATTGAACATTTAAGGAAAATTGGTCTAAAGTTTGTTTCAAGTGCACAACATTTAAAAGCACAATCAGTGCATTTCTATTCCACATCCTATACCTTCATGAACCTCATATCATGAGTATTACTCCTTGTACAATTCTTTGAACCTATAATGTGAGTATGTGCCCTCTTTCGTGACAGTAAATCCACCAATTTCATATTAATATATTATACTACTACTACATAAAATGTTGAATCTGTATGAAGAACATTTATACGCTTTTCACATCTCCCACCAATATTGAAGTTCTTTTTTTCTGATAAAGTAATGTAATAACTTTATTAATAAACTACAGCACTAAGGGGCACCAAAAATGTAAGAGGTCGTGTCTGGACTCAACTCCCTCGAGCAAGCAAGGAGTCTTACGAAGTTCAGTACAGTGTCACATTATTTCATGTACCAGAAACAAATGAAGTTAGCTCATTCAAATCATTCTTTCTTGTATGGAAGTCAAGTAAGTTCATAAAAATGTGACTCAATAAGTATATAATACGAGGCTAACAACTAAATGTAAGTTTAGGTACGTTTCCTGGGATGTGCTTAGATTTCAATCCTCAGGTGTGCTTAAATTATAAGCATTAAAAAGAGGACAATGTGGACCGGAGTTAGAGGTACTTAGGGGTTTCACACAAAGAAAGAGAAGGAATAGGAGAAGGGGCAATGCCCAGATTCACGTATGAAGTCATCTATTAAGAGCGGATAAGAGCCTAACGTATTACATAACACAAAAGCTGTAAGCACTTCAAGCCTTCTTTGAAACAACCTTAAACTCAGCAGAGAATTTCTGGACTCCAACTTGAATTGCTCACAAGAAAGTTTACGTTGGTAATTATAAGCTGAGATTATCGGACTTGCAGTTTGTTTCAGTCACAACTATCAAAACAAGGGATCGTGAGTTTTTAACACCAGAGCTCCACTATATCCATTACAGGAATTATGCCAAATGTGATCATCATATATTTTTGACTACCACTAAATGTACAGTAAAAGATCTGATGAGTTTTGTGAAATACCAGTAAAAATAACTTCATGCACATACCTCAGCAGCCTCGACCAGACGACCCTCATCTTTGTACAAAATTCCACAATGAGTGAGGGCACACGCATTTTGTGGGTCCAGCTTGACAGCTTCAGCAAAACTTTCAAAAGCAAGCCGCCCCATGTTCTGCATCTGCAGGCAAATACCTTTGCCAATCAGAGATTCAATACTCCCACTATCCTTCTGCAACACACTCTCATAGATAGCAAGTGAATCAACAAACTTGTTCCTAGAGCGAAGAATATTTGCATAAGTGATGGCATCCTTCCCCTCAAAACTCTTCTTTATAGGACTTATTCTACCAGGAGAACCTTTGGAGGCAGAAGAAGATTGCCCTCCCTTCAGAAAACCATTGTTACCAAGTGGGACACTTTCTTTCCCATTCTCGACATCTTTTTCCATCAACGCCATCTAACTATACCTTCGGAGTCACTTCCTGAATCTGCTAAAGAAAAATAGCTTCTTTTAGAAACAAGAAAGTCGTGTTAAGCTGTAAGTAACCCCAAGTGAGGTTTAACGTCTAGTTCTATTCACCTTCAAGTATTTCTCCCTCAATGCTCCTAATTTTAACTTCTGAGCATACAAAAATTTGAGCACAATGAGGTTTTCCTGGAGACTATGAACTAAGTATTGCTCTCATATCATTCTTGATGAACATGTATCAATTACAAACACAGCAAAATGAATAAAGCTTGAACTTCTAGAAGCACAACACGAAGGCTTTAAAAATTCAAATACCCTAACTTGGCAATAAATGAAATAGTAGTAGTAGTACATTACTATTAACAAGTACAATTAAAGAAAAACCCTCAGGTGTTACAAAACCCATATCAGTTAAACCCCTAAAAATAAGTCTTTTTTTCAAGAATCAACTTACAACTAAAACTGAACATAACCCCTCTATACAAAAATGAACTGATCATGATTAAACCAAAAGAAAACACTCAACGAAATTAGGGCAAAACACTTTAAACCACCGCACACCAAAAAAAAAAAAGAATATACAAACCTCAGTTATTCAATCACTTTCAAAGCAGTGATGCTTTCACCATACTGTTTCTGCTAGGGTGGTGGCGGAAGGAATGGAGTATATGTGTGTGAGTGTTTGAGCGCGCCCGCGCGTATATATATAAATATAGATACAGAGTTGGCGAGGGCCAAGTGAGGGGGGTTTTGGGGGGGGGGGAGGG